CTGCTGGATGAGCATGGGAGTATTCCCGCACCTATGCGGGGCTCAGATAATTGCACCTGTAATGACTGTAATGAAGAAGCTCTAAAGTTACATGTGTCTTTTATTACACTAACTTGCAAGGTACTGACCAGGACCTATTGAAGAGCCAGCTCTTCAACCACTGCTTGTGTATTGCCTGTACAATGACTACAGCTATTTGGAAAGTTATGTATGACTGGAGGTGCTCCATGAGGCTTTTCCAACTGTCATAGGATGTTGGTGTGGAGGGAAAAAAAAGAAATTATCGACAGGCACAAGCTGTTTAAGTTTGTTTTGGTTTTTTTGTCGTGGGTTTTGATGTTGTGATTTGGTTTTGGTTTGTTTTTTTAAAATAAGGTGATTGTATAAACTTCGTCTGGCTTTAAGTACTTCGTTCCTTTGGGATCAAATTAGCTGCTTCATTTAGGCCTCTTCACAAGTGTCAATATTTAAACGCTGTGAGCTTCAGCAACGCTGCAATGAACTTATTAAACATCTCTGCCATCTGCAACCTGGTGTTCTAGATGATGCTTAGTACTGCAAGCAAATTGTGGAGTATGTGTGTTGCATCGTAAGGAGTCCATTTGCATAAAGGCTTGGTGTTTAAATAAGTTGTGACATAAAATTAGGGACCCCAAACATTGTCTGCTGCAGCTGTTTAACACAGGCACATAACTTTGTTCAAGATCCAGAATATGTTGTGCATATGTAAACTATACAAGGTACTAAAAAAACTTGAAATACTGAAGTCAACTTCAGTGGCTTTTAAACAATACATTAAAAAAAACATAAAGGTAAAACCTTATATGGGCAACAAGCAGTGTTGCTTGGGTATCTGTGGAAATAATCAGATGGGAAAAATTTTTAATAATTGTTTGTATTAAGCAGGATGCAGTCTCATGTGTGCCCAGTGGCATTTGGGAAGCTACAGATCAGAAGGTACTTAACTGCAAAGCTTCATTAGTTAAAATTGAACCAGCTGTGATAATAGATGGAATTTCAATCAAAATTAGTATGGCTTGGAACAAGAAGAAGCAGTGATGAAAAGCTAGAGGAGGAAAAACAAGGATTCTGAAGCAGTATCAAGGGAGTGCTTGATCACCAGACCACAGCAAAGAAGCATTCAGAGGTGTGAGAGCTGTTTTTTCTATCCTTCTTTTACTGATTACAGATAAACTTACAATTTCTCATTAAAATACTCTTGTAAATAGCTCAGACATAATAATTGGTTTTGCTATCATTTTGACTAAACCAGTAGTTATGTTAAAAACATCTTAAGATGCTTTTTTTTTTTTTAAACAAAGATCAAGACATTTTTAGAAAACATCTTAAAAAATCCAATTCTTGCAACTGTTTGCAACTAGAACAATGCAATTAAGAGTGCAAGCCAACGAAGATTCTTTAATGCTGAGTGTTTCTTAATATAGGTATGTGCTGGTAGTCCCTTGTGGTTTGTGTGCCCAAAGGCAGGGCAGGCAGGAGGCCAGACGCTGCCCTGAGGTTTTACAGGAGCTGAGAATGGGATGCTGGTTTCTGAGCAGAGGCTGCCCTACCACCTGCCGTTCCTTTGGTGGTTACACATCTCAAGGACATCTGTTTGTGCACCAACTCAGAGAGTACATCGTATGTGAAGGCATGAGGTAAGCTCCTGTTTATAACATAATGGCAAGCTCCCTAAGAAAACAGAAAAGTAGCACCAGAATGTATTTTAACCTAGAAGTGCCATCATGCAGTTAAGTAGGAATCGCCAGAGTAGCTTTCCTGCCCCCTTTCCCTTAAGATACTCTTCTATGGCTTCGTAATCCTTTACTCTAAATCTTGCAATAAATTTGTGAGAAAGGCAGGCAATGGAAAACACAAAATTATGCTTTAAAATTTGTTGGCCCAGTTTTCTGCTCTTATTCATTGGACTGACTGACCTTTATATCCATCCTTGTGAGGAACAGTTTCCCACTACTGGCATCTCTTTGCAGCTATGAACAAGAACTGTGAGGCATGAAATCTAATATTTGCAAGCAGTTAAAGGATTTAAAGTTCTTTTGATTTTATCATTTGGAGTTCTTCTAATTGTCCATGCTCTCTAAAGTGATGATGAACTCCCTGCTCAGGATTGCATCAGCCTTCTCGTCTCGAGTCTGTCTGATTTCTGCGCGACACCGTCAGGCTGTAGTCTCTCCCTCCGGGGTGCACAGATCCGCTGAATGAGGGTGAGTCAAACTGCTGTGTGTTGGGCTGCTGGTTTTAACCACCAAGATACCTTGACTTACCGTTATCAGAGATAGATACACGGCTGTAAAAATGATTCAGAACAAGTAGGATTACCCAAAGCAGTTTAAAAAAAATATTTAAAAAAAAAATAAAAAACAGGATCTGAATTGTGGTATCTACTATCTGATGTTGCAAGAACTACTAAGCAGTTACCCAGAACCCTCGTGACACAGGCTGGGCTGCTGCTTTCAGGCATCATCATTGCCGCAATCAGTGACATTTTCAAAACATTAAAAAAAAAAAAACAACCCAAACAAAACCAAAAAACTAACCCTCCCCCCTAAAAAAAAACCCCAAAGAAGAACAAACAAACAATTGCAAGGAGTTTCTTGGAGTTTCAAAGCTGATTAATAGAGCAAGTTGTGAGATAGAAACATATTTTAGACATGAAGAATACCTTCAGTATATTTTTTAAGTGCTGTAAGCAAGAAAAGCAAAGCAACTGAGCTAATTTTTTTTACTCAGAAACTTAACAAGGAACAGAATGGTAAGCACAAGAAAATGCTGGGAAGCGTTAAGGAGCTTTCAAAACTGGTGACAATTCCCCTTGTGTTCCTCTTCAGGTGCAACACCAACACAGCTTGTGTTGGTAAGAGGAAAGGGCAGGAAAAGGGTTGTGTGAGAGGTATACTTGGGTGAGTTGTGGGGGAGAGAAGCCAGAACTGTTTAAAACTCGGGGAACTAGGGTGTGTTTGAACAGCAGTGAGTTCAAACAGCACAACAGAGAGGTGCAACAGTGGAGAAACTACTAGAAGGGGATGGCAGGTCATGGATGTGAGGTGGTGCAGTTCTAGGGTTGGAAAATGGGAATTAACTACAGTACATCTTTAGGAATTTCCATGGGTATCTAGGCTAATAAGCTGGTGAGTCAAAATGGGGATGTGGTCAGGGAACGCAGACAAAAGGCTACATGTAGCACAAGGCTGCTCTGATAAGTCTAAAACTAATTGGAAAAACTAACCCTATTCCAAATTGAGACAAAGCCATACACTGCTGTGAGGCAGACAAGAGAAACAAGCACGCTTGCTTTCCTCTATCCCCAACACTTGTGCAGTGAGGCACACAGCTGCTGTGTGACAGAAGCTTCTTTGCAGAAACTAATTAGTCTGTAATCATCTGTCATGCAGAAACCTGAGGTGACTCCTGTCCTGCACTGCAGGAACTCTGTCTAAGTACCAGAGTTTACCACGGGCGTGAGCGAGGTGGAAGATGGGCTCTGTGCTGGACAGGTGAAGGTTGTCTCGGGCTTAATTTTCACTACCTAATGGGTATGTATATTTAGGTAACTACATTCCAGTCCCGCACGCTGGCCTGTGTGTCCCAATTCTCAACTTACAACCTATGTTAGAGTAGATGTCAACTAGAAGGACTAACTTGAAAGACTTGCCGAGGATGATAGTCTCTTTATACTTCTATACTTGTGACCAGCAAGACATACCCAGGAGTGGAAGAGAAGAAAGACAGGGCTGAGTGTTGTTAAGCACTGAAGGATTCCTTGTCACTTTCAAAAAGCTACTATGAGATGTGTATATATAGCAAGAGGCCAAATAAATTATCAAGGGAAAGGACCAGACAAAAGCAATGAAGACGGTGTCATTTGCCTCCCAAGGTTTTTCTCAAACAAGCCATAAGATGCTAAGGACCTCCTCAAGAGGCCTGGTAGGATAAAACCTCACAGAGAAGGAAAAAGAGGAGCACTCAGTGCTGCGAGTACTTTCTAAAAGAGAAACCCTTAAGGCTTTCCTGCCCCTTGTGGTAAAAGTACCAGTTTGACTCTCCTGGACCTTTTGGTCTTTACCAGAACGAGGAGATGGCTTCTCCTAGGCCGGGCCAGGCCAGCAGTGCCCCAGGTAGCACTAAAGTGTCCCCTTGCCCTGGGAACAGGCGTTGGTGCAAGCCGCTCCCAGCTCCTCCTGCTGCCCCCAGCCCACTGCTTCCACTGTTCCCCAAACTGCTGCACCCACCTCATCTGCCTGCCCTTCTGCCCACCAAACCTTGCTGCAGGACAAGGCACCGGTTGTGTCCCCGGATATGATGGCTAGCAACAACAAAAACAAGCACCTCTGCGACAATTCTCTTGAAGACGGGGGAAAAAATAGAGGAGCCAATAAATCACAGCTTTTTCCTTTGAGAGTCTACAAGTCTGTCATTCTTCTAACTCTCTTTCAGAAGGCAGCCCTTCCTCTTTCTTTACCTTTTAAGATGTTCCACCATTTCCCAGTGGTGGAAGAATGGTGGCCTTGCATAGAAATAACAAAACCCATCCGTGTGTCAGAAGTTCCTGGGCCAGTGAGCCAAGGCTTCTGCTGTCTCTGGGTTTGGAACTGCTCTGTCTTTACCCCCTTTGCCTATTCTTCGTTAGCCTGACAGCAAATTTAGCTCAGCCGTTCAGTAAAGGGTAGTCATTTAAAAAACACTTCAAGGAAATCAGCGTTTTGATTAGAAGAGTTCACTGTGTGACAAGAGCCAAAGGATGTTCAGCCCCCTACTCCTCACAAGACGAAAAGAAGTTAGTTGTGTATCTGATAGTTACCTGTGATGGACAGCAGCAGGTAAAATAACACAGCATGAGCAGTTTCCAGTAGTCACACACCTTCTGCTTACCCGCAATTCACAGAGGACAAAAATAATGAAACCATAAATCACAGCAGAAGGCATGAATGGCAAAAAGCTGTATCCAAAGAGGTAACAAGTAGCATAAACAGGCTCCGGTCCTGGATTCAACAATAACAGGGTTTATTGCAGTGGTTTTGGCCAGACCATGATCTCTCATTACAAACACTCCTGGTCTCAGAGCTGCACCAACTTGAAAACAAAAGCTGAATCAAGTTGCGATGTTCACTCCTCCAACACAGGCTAGGAATAATATTAATCATCAAAAGAAATTAAAGTATTTAGGCAAACCAGATTGGTGATTTAGGCCATTTCAAGGTGGTGTCAAGCATATATTTAGCTCAAGTAACGGCACTATGTACTTCCCGATTCAGCTTCACGTTCAAGTTAAACACAACCCCGAACACGCTTGCTTTCAGGAATGATCCTCCAAACCAAGTTCTGTTAAGATTGCAGGTTGCTGCCTATTTTAGCAAAAATAGCCTGAGTTGGCCTAGATTTCCCCCCTCTTCCACGCTTTACTTTCAGCAACTGTATGATTTGTACAAAAATCCGTTACAAAAATATGCAAAGTACAAATTACGTATAAAACCCCACCACATATTAGACAGTCATATCGAATATAATTTTTTGGTGAATTAAAGTTTATCTGAAATCATCACAGAACGTCAGCAAGTGCAGAATTTAGGTCAGCTCCGATACAGAAGCTGACCGGGCTGGAAACCCTGTTGAGTCCGTTAGAAGAACTCCTTTAAGCAGCGTTCCAGTTTACCCCTTTCCCATCCAGCTGTCTGGGCTGTGTCAGGAAGAATGCGGAGAGCAGATGTGAAGTAAAATATTATTCATACAACACACTGTGATGACACAATCCAAACTCCATTTAATTAAAGACACCATTCACGTTGTGCGCTTTGTACCTGGCCCTTGGCACCCATTAATTACGGATGACCGTGGGTAGTGAGGCATCAGATTTCCCATTTTTCCTCCCTTTAAAGCATCGATAACAAAGACTTTCCCTTCACAAAGTGACTCTGAGCATTTTGTGCATATTTTACTGCAAACATCAGGATTACCAAACCCAACTGGTCAAGTTAATAAAATAATATTCTTAGTGGTGTATTACAAAAGAAATGTGCAAGAGGTCCTCCTAACTCAAACTACAATACTTAGCATGAATGAAAATATTTGCATAAAGCACATTCTAATCATTTTGCCATTTTCCAGTTAAGACAGGGCATCGGGAAACCTTAAGGCAAAACATCTCTTTTTCTGCAAAACAGGCTCTTAACAGTTTCTCCCTAACATAATGCGCACACAACAGCATATTGTCAATTTAAAAAAATATTTAATGCTGCCAAAAAGTATAAAAATACAATAAGAATGGCAGTACAAAACAAAATATTTCCTAATTTATTTCTTTTACATCTTTCTACATTAATACAGGCATTATAAAAACACAAGTGGGCAAATTATTTTGTTTTGCAAAGTAGCGCGCTGCTGGTGGTCTTCATCCCCTCGGTGCAGTTTACGCTGTAAACAGATAACTGAGGTCTTCTTGGTACTTAACAGACCTCACTTTTTGTTCCCGAAGAGGGGTTGATGTCTCGCTTTGCATGTCAATAATTTGCAGTTTATAGCTGCAGAATATTCACAAGTCTTGAAGGCTTAGGTGTCGGTCAGTCTCGGCCTGCGACATACAATGCAGAAGAAAGTCACCGATTCAGTACACAGTACGGAGACAAAAAAAAAGACTATAAGAACAGAGAGCGGGTTTGCAAGTCCCTATCAACAGCAAGCAGCGCCTCATGCATCCCCCGCAGCAGCTCCCCACTATGGCTCGCACTCTGCTTCTCCAGAAGGAATCCCCACATTACAGCGTGAGGCGCAGGCTTGCTGGAGAGCTTCAAGCCTAGGTCACTCCAGCAACACAACCCACTCGTGCGCTCAACCACGGGCACCACAGAAGTCTCCGTGGGCCTTACTGGGGCTGCAGAAAGCTGCACCCCAAAACACTAACATCACCCTTCACGGCTTTGTAGGCCGGTCCTGGAAATCCCTTTCTAGGGAAAGGTTTCTCAGAGGCGAGGAAGACATGCCAAGACTGGACGTTGTGTTTGCTCTCGGGGAAGGTAAGGCTCTACTCCCAGGAAGACAGACCAGCACCACATATCCAAGCTACTACAAAGTAAACCACTGCTAAGTTCTGCAAGCACTACACACATTCGTAAAGCAGCTTTCTTTGATCAGTTAAGACACATTAAAAACATTCTTCCAAGTATTTATCCTTCCAATTTAAATAAAGACTCAGACAGAGGTGCAATTTTGAACACATTTATTTTTCATACATAAAAATGAAAGACTGACCTAAAATTCTGGGGGAAAACAAAAAAAGCCCAGGAAGACTACTGTATGTTATGTCAACTTGGCAAATTTCGTCCTCTGACTTAAGCCACTTGGCCACGCAGAAGACTTTCCTCTTTTGTCATCCTCAATTTAGTTTCTTGTGCAGTACTCCAGTGTCTCAGGTTTAACTCTAATGCCAAGCACCAAACTAAATAATTTGGTTAACATTCAGTAAACTTAAAGCTCGCCAGGCGTTTTAATCGCCTGCACAACCCAACCGCACAGACATGCATACACATTTACACCTCTCCCCTTTCCAGTGGGATATAAACTGATGCCTGAAAACCACTTAACTCCAGGTTTAACAGAATAAGCTGTTTCACTTGTAACATCTTGCTTCCATAAAATAAGCCTGTAATTTTTTTTTGAAGCGTTATTTCACACTGAACTCATTTTACTTGATACATGTCAAGAAAAACACAGATGTACTGTCACTCTTAGTGGAGTGTCCCTGCACCAAGAACATAACCAGAAAACCTAAAGGACTGTCAAACCCCTTGCAATGGATGTCCACATTTGTTAGGGATTTTTTTTTTTTAATCAAAACATGCGTGATTTGTACACAAGTGTTCATCTGAGAGTCAAAGGCTGTTTAATCAATTTCAAAGGAGCCCACTACGCATCCAGTATTTTGACAGATGTATTTCCAGACCGGAGGGAGAAACCCAACCTGGTAACACTGTGAATGAAGTGCAAGAGCACTTCAGGAGCAGCACAGGCCCAGCCGGCAGCTTCCCAACAACCGGGGCCAGGGGGAGGCAGGAGAGGGCTCAGAAGGTGCGTCCTTCATTTTTACTCTGTCTTTAAGCAATCGTCAGTTCTTCATTTTGTCCCATATTGGTCAAATTCCATATTCCTATTTAACATCCAAGTTGTGCAAAACTGCTGCAAGTTTCAATCCTACAGAATAACAAAGTATCACAAGGGCTCAATTTGCAGTACAGATTTTGGGTTTTAAGGATTACTGATGGACCAGAAAAAAAGGTTTTGTGCAAATTATGTCCTGGAATGTACGAAGGGATCTAATGTTAATTTCCCTTCTATGCCCATACTGGCACGGACAATCTCCTGTACAAAACGGTTTTGTCCAAGACTTGTATTGGTTCATGGTCCTTATATTATTAACAGTTAAGACTCTCAAGATACTTACAATCATGTAATCAAACCAAATTTTTTACAGATCAGCTGTGGGATGTGCAAGTCCTGCTTTATTGCATTAGGAAGGTTACAGAGCGTGAGGTGATGTAGGATGGGCCCCCCACACCCTGCCCTCTCAGAACAGAGGAACGTCTGCTCAGGATGGGGAGAAGAAAAAAGCCAGGATTTTTAAGATGGAATCAGGAAAAAATTCAGGTGACATCTCAACAGAGTTAGAGGTCAGTGTCTGTAGGGTACTGGTGGCCCAGGAAATCCTTCTCATGCAAACTGAAAGGTGCTAAGTGACAGTATGGTTTTGCCTGCGCTTTTTCCTTTAAGTATTTAGAATAAAATCTGGACTATTTCTGTTACAAAAGCATTTAAGTACATTCCATGTGTTCTTCCATAACCAAAATATCTTTTATAAGGCACAGACATTTACACCTACTATGAGTTATAGCTGACACTGAATAAACTGTCTTCCCAATTTAAAGAAAAAAAAAAAAAAAAAAAATATTTAGCAAAGCCTTAAGTTAAATATTCAAAAGGGATTCTGTGGTTTCTTTAAAGTTTAATTTAATTTTGCCATTTTCCTAAAGGAAGTATATTCATTTCAGACTGTTCTGGCAGGACAGATAATTCACTCCAACACCTATGAGAGAACAAAAGACTGAGTCTCAGGAATTAATTCAAAGAGCACCAGATCCAC